CAATACTGGTCACATGTTGTTTTTATTAAAAGCTAAATATAAAGAGAAAAATAAATCATATACTAGAGGTGGAAAATAGTGTACTGGTAATTAATAAATAGTAAAGCAGTAGTTCTTAAAGTTTAGCTTGCTTAAGAAATATGTGAGGATGCTTATTAAAATGAAGGTTCTAGGACAGGCCCTTTCTTCATGGATACTAAATCAGCAAAGATGAGGTGATAGCCAATAATGCGCATTTATACTAACATTTATAACTTGGAGAAATATTGATCTAAAGAATCACAAGTTACTCCCTGAAGCATAGAAATGAGTACAGTAGTTAGTAGCTGAGCTTGGAAAAATATTTCCTTCTCTAACATTGCAAATGCACTGACCATATCCTCCTTCAGGAATTGGTTTTTTGACTCCATGATAATTTACGGGAATTCTCAGAAGGAGACCAACTTCTTCATGCCTCAGTTTCATTCTTTGTAAATTAATTACGGACTCATTCACATTTACTATTTCTTATTTACAAAGTGTTGAAAGTGCATTCCTAGAGCAGAATTGAATGTGTGAAAACATCTGATAATAAACAGAGATTATACTGGAGAGGAGTTCACAGGCTCCTGCTTCATCCTCTTGGACTGTGAGATTAAAATGCTCACCAGCTGTGTTCAATCAATATTTCTGTTCACATTTGAATGTAGTTCCAACTCAGAGACAAAGGTCTAAGAAATATATTCTAAAATTTATCAGAAAAAGAATTAAATCCCTATTCATATGCCCCCCCCCTTTTTTTTAAACCTCTTTTCTTCAGGCTCCATTTCCGTAATCCACAAATTCTTGCTACCACCTGATAAGTGAATATAAAGCATTAAAGTGCCAATTGCACAGTTCTTGTTTTTAAGGGTCAGGGAAGGGTTAGGACATCCTGGGTCTGGATTTCATTCTTTTCTAGACTTCCTGTGTAATTTAATGCTCCTCCATCTGCACTCAGAATCCTATTAGAAAAAAAGAGATTTCAGCTGCTTTTTCACTCGCATGTAACTGCGTTTCTAATGGCAACTTCCCAATAGAGGTTCAGGTGCTTATGTGAAGCAAGGACATTCTCACTCCATTTCAGTGAATTTGGAACAGTGCATTTAGAATAAGCTTTATATTTTTTCATCCAGCATACCTCTTACCTTTAATTTAGAAGCAAGTAGGTCTACCCCTAAATATGTTTTGATATTTTCTCTACTAATCTATTGAATTGAAGTGTTTATTTTTTGAGGCTCTATGAGGATGGTGGTATTATTTTGTGGTAGTTATTGTTTCAAACTGCACAACAAGTTTTCCCATATGCACCTTCCTACTTATATAATAGGCTCCTTCCTTATATACCCCAGTATTAGTGAATGGGAGTAACAGTTGTGGCAAACAGAAACACTCATTCTCCTGGCTGCATACATTGGCTGAGAGGTAGCTTAATGACATTGATCAATCAATCAGACTCCTTGGGCTATTCCTATTGGGACAAGGTTGGAAAATTGTTTCTTACCTCTGTAGTCCCCTTACTGGAAGGATAGGAACCTAAGACCCCTAGAAACTATCCTACTCATCATGTGGCTACAGCCTGCCAACAATATGAGAGAATGAGGTCCACACCTAGTAAGACGCAGAGCTGAAACGTGAGGAAAAGGCGAATTTTTAAAATTTTGTTGTTAATTGACATGTAATAGTTGTACATATATATGGAGTACATTGTGATGTTTCAAGGTGATCTAGTCCCGAATCTGTTAGGTTAGTGCAAAATGTTTGATGCTGGGACCATTCATTTTCTTCCCTTCTATATAGTCAATAAATTAATTTTTACCACACGCTAGTTGAATTGCATTTCTGTTATTTCAAACTGAAAATATCCTGACTAAAATAAACAAAAACAACAAATAGAAATGGAGATTTAAAAAAAACATGCAGGAAGTTAACAATTCCTTCAATGGTACGAATGAGTTCTCTGGATATGTCACATATGTAGGCATTTTCGTTAATAACTTGGTTTTGTGCCAGGATTCCTTTATTTCTCTTGCATCTAACATTAATAAATTGTTATTTGTTGTTAAGGGGAGTAGGGAACTCCTGTAATATTAAATTTAGGGAGATCCCAGAAAGTTAGCCTTCCCAAAGTCTTTCAAAACCTGGCTACATTGTCACCTTAGGCTTAGGAAGCCAACATTCAATATAGACATAGAAATATCTCTTTCTTAAGGGGAGAATTCCAGGGTAGCTGATAAATTGTATTCTTTTTTGGCACCATGACTCATAGCTATAACTTTTTAACTCTTTAGGGGGACTTTTGCATTTGCCATGGGAGATGTCATTTCAATGCCTAAAAGTCAAATAGATTAAAGATAGGATGTAGCTTGGGACATGCATACTGGGACACTTCTGAGTGTGAAAGGGGTTTCTATCAACAGTTAGACCCAGGACAATAGGTCCAAGAACACCAAGAACAAGATCACCAAGAACCAAGAACATGCTAAAGAAAGGGAGATATTTGTTTGTCTTTGCCAAAGATGATAGACTCTTTTTCTAGACTAGTGATTTCCAAACTGGTTCCACATTAGAATTGCCTGGGAAAGTTAAAAAAAAAAAATACAGAAGCCAAGTTTCCTCACCCAGAGATTCTGATGAATTGTCTGGAGTGGCATATGGGAATTTCACTTTTAAGAAGTTCCCCGGAGACTGTACAGCATAGTTTTAGTATGTAAGTATGTAAACCTGAATCTCAATAGGCTAAGACTGGGGTCTCTCCTTCCATTAGCTAGGTGTGTGATTCTGGACAAATAATTTTCTGATCTTCAGTGGCTTCATCTATAAAAAGAGGGGTTTAGTCTAAAAAATACTCTAAGATCAATTGAACTCTAATATTCTACAATTCTGATCCTTTTAAGAACTCTTCTTTACAGGGATTAAAATCTCTTAAAGTGAGAACCTACTTCCCCTAGTCTTGGACAATGACAGAATATTACTGGGAGGAAGGCTAATCAAGTTCATTTCTTAAAAGCCAAGGATGTGTTGTATAAACGAACTGATAGGACACGCACACATATTAATTCTAGTGCTGTTTGAGAGCACCTAGCAGTTTTCATGCCAGCTGAGAGGATGAAAGGCCTGCAACTCCCAGAAACATTATGTAATCTTTGCAATCTAATTCAGCGCAACCTTCAACAACTGAAATGTTGACGGACAGGTTTACTTTTCCCCAGAACGAATTTTCATGGTTGCTTATACTGAGAAGGCAGTGCATTGTGTGTGTCTTATTAATGACCTAATTCAGTGTGTTCTTCTGTCTATAAATGGAGACAAACTGAGAGATATACAACTGGTCTAAAATAGAAGGCCGAGTTCAGGGTGTGAGATATATTTTGTTAAGTCATTTGAAGCCTCAGTGTCTCATTCCTTTTAACAACAAACTCCTTTAAAGACTTAATGCTAGCATTGAGTTACTTTTTATAATTCCATAAGAACCCTCTCCCCTCTGCTTCTTTTGTTCTGGCTGAGTTAATACCTCAGGTAGGATATGCTAGATTGTGGCACCTTCTCCTCAAACTCACCAACCAGCAGTCTTCCATTCTTTTTCCATAGAGTAGTCCCTAATAAATACAAATGAGACGGAATATCTCTCTACTTAATGTTTCACTCCTGAGTTGATCATACATAGCCTATTTGTCCAAAAACATTTTTGAGTTCCTACTGGGTTTTCAGCAGACCTTTAGATTTAAACTGCCCTAAGTTTTTGTCTGTTTGTTTTTCTTCATCTCTGTATCTCGGCCTGTAAAACCTCCAAACGTGATCCATATTAAAAAATGATGTTTTCTGCCTAGATCTCAAACCAAAATAAATTTCCCCCTCCTGGCAATAGTATCAGCTTAAGAATTAGGAAAAAAATCAATCAGATTAAACTAATTTATATTACTGTATAAATGACTAAAAATACATATATTGTTTCAGTAGGACAATAAAATGTACGCATTCTATTTAGCTACTTATAAGTAGCTAAATTTTTTCAGCTTTCTGTTTGCTTTCTAAAAATATACTGACATTTCTTATACGCATTTCTCACAATAAGTTAAGTTCATATATTAGGGTACTTGGTGCACATTTCCCTATGAAGTCGAGCTGTAGATGATAGCTAGCTTATCAATCAGCCCCCAAATCCCCATCTAACTCTTCTTGTAATTTAAAAACAGAGGACTATTAATAAATGTTGCATAAGTGAATAACTGAATAGAAGCTAGACAGGGATGAGGGCTTGTCCATGAAGAGGGTCTGTGGGTAGTATTCAGTGCTAGAAGACATTTCCTCCTCTTTTCCAGGGCAAAACACCGCCCTGGGTAAAATTATAATGCTCACAGGGTATCTTTTGTATCACAACTCTCTGCTCATACTTTCCAACCTCTTTAGACTCTCTCTTCAGTGCTTTCCTAGGTTTATAATATTTGTCCCTTCCCTTCCCCTGGAAGGTCTCTTTGCTCCAATATTACCTATTTCTCCCCTACAAAAACCCTTCATACCTCTCAAATGAAATCCATCTTTTATGAACTCTTTCTAATCACCTTTTAGTATGGAAATAAGCTGATTTAAACAAGATTGTTTGTGCTTTAAAGGAAGGTATGTGTTAACCCAAAGTATCTCCAACAGTGGAGTTTTATTTAGTCTGGCTAATTCAATGTGACAATTCAGGCAGAGTGAAAGAATATATTTTCTGGGGGCCAATCTATAGAATGTCTTGAATGTGTATCTTTCTCTAGTTACCTCTTTCATATCTTTTCTTCTATGTTTTACTTGGGTGGAGGAAACAATGGCTAAATTTTGTAGATCATTTATCCAGAAAATAAATATCAAACAATGAAATTGTCTTGAAAGTATTTTAAAATTTATTCATGCCTTTTTTGGATTTTGAATGTTTTTTAAAATGTATTCATCTTTTTTTTCTTCAGCAATTCAAGAATGACCTGCTATTTGCTATGTTGCAGCAGTGAAGGCAGTGAAGGGGCTGTGGTGTGATCCAGGAGGCTGAGAATTGTGCAGTGGGTGCTGTCACCTTGAAGACATCAGCGTGATCAGGCAGATCATCATGGTAGTAAAATAGATTAAAAACTGCTCTAAGAGGCCATTTTATGAAATAAAAGTGATTTACCACTGAGCAGGAGATATCCCAGTTGTGGTGGCTGGAAGAGAAATTTTCTAAGCAAAGATGAGAAAAAGCAAATGGCTGGTGCTGATGAATCTTTCCAAGCAGTGCTATGTGGCTTCTGTATGCTTCTGCAGACACTGCATCTGTACTCCTGTAGTGAGTGATTCTGACATGGCACACATGCATATCAACACAGATTTCCCTGAAGTACACACTTCACAGGGTTTCAGTGACTCCAAGAGTTTTTGTCAGTGTCATTTTTAAAAGAAGGTGGACGTTCACTACAAATTTTGATTTGTTGTTGTTGTCGTTGATGTTGCAGGAAATGATACAGTGTATCTGTTATGATGTTGTGAGTAAAAGTTTAATTTTAACAAATTTTATAAAGGTAAAGATGAAGCAAGATGATTCAGCAATCCTGTAACTCCCAGCCTACTCCCACTCTCCCAATCCAACCCATACCCATTACCAACTTGAGAAAAGGAAAGGTGAAGAGGACCCAGCAAAGTGGTTGAATCTCAGCAAATCAATGAGTTGGGAAAGAGAGACAGTTTCAGACTGGGGGTTGAAGAGAAAGTTTTTATTGATTGATTGATTGATTTCTTTTTTCTTTTCTTTTTTGCCTCTTACCTTGGGTTTGGCAAATGAAACGCTCTAGTGGATGTGGAATTTGAAAGCACTGGAGAAGAGAAGGGAAAACAAGATGTGCTAACTGCGACATTTTGCTGAGTGCCTAGAAATAGATCTCCTTACTGTCTTTACAGAGGTTTAACTAAGGAATGAAATTCCACTGAAACCTTTTTTGCCTGTTTGGATTGTGCCTCTTTGACAGTGATACTACTCTGGGGCTAAGTCTGATGTGTCACAACCCAACAGGGTGGGGCTTTATCTCTTTTTCAATTGATTACATGAAATAATTGTATTAAATAGAAAATGTAAAGGCATAAATGCCTTGATATTTATTTTTTATCAGTCCTTATATTCCTTAGTAGATCTCTATTTAAAGCTCTAAAATTATTTATCTTCTCCTCCTCTGATACTGCTTTTCAGTCTATTACTCCCCAAATTCTGTGAATGTGAGGAAACATAGAAATTCTGAATATTTCTGAAAACAATCTTCTGTTGTAAAAGTAGTATGATCCGTTAAACAAAATTTGTAAAAAAAAAAAAAAAAAAAAAAAAAGAAAAGAAAAAAAAAAGAAAAGAAAGAAAAGAAAAAAATCACCTACAACATTATTACCCTAATATAAACTGATACAAATGAATACAATACTGCTTTGGTATTTTCTCTCCATATTTTCTTTTAGAAAGCCTCGTCATGATTATATTAAGCACTTTACCTCAGGTAAAGCACTCAGCTTCCCCTTTGATTCTAGCATTTGGGATCTGAAGGGCATGACCTTCGGTAGCCATTTTTTTATACTTCAAGAGTTTATATGCCAGGATCAGACTGTCAAATAGGTCCATATTAATATCTGTTAAATTCTGAAAGTTCAGGGACAAACTTTTAATGTATCTTTAGCAAAAAATGATAAACTTGGAGGTGCTAAGTAAATAAAATTTCTTAACAAAATTCCAGTACAATGTTCACATGTACCATTCTGATACTGTATATTTGCCCTTACATCCTTGTCTGCACAGCAGGATGCTGTGCCAGATCATCTCAGCAAGAGGTCTCTACATCACAATGTTGGCAAAACTAGAGTGGGTGAAAAGACCCTCTTATTACCTTTTCTGGGCCCGACTTTGTCATAATGAACCTGCATAAGATGATCTCTAAGGTTCGGTTGTGTTGTAGCAGTATATTATGTAGACTTGAGAACTTGAAAAATTTCCTCCACTTAGCACAGTTATTTCTAGACAGAAATGTCTTTTGTATTCTTAAGGCATATCATGTATGACAGCAGTCCCCTAATTTTTTTCTTACACACCTGCTAAAAGAATTCTAAAAAGCTATATACCCTCCTGCACATTTAAATGGACATTAAAATTTCTTTTCATCACTAAAAACAATGATAAGGGGTGTAATTTTCAGTATAATATAAATATTGACCTTTTAGAATAAAGCCATTTTAAAAACACTCAGTATAACAAAAACCATAGCAATGTGTTACTAGCTATAACCCATTGAAAACTAGATGATCATGCTTTTCAAACCAGAAATTTCATTTGTAGTTTTGTTCTTTTATTTCCATTCCATCCCCCCACAGAATTGTTTCTTAATTCAATATATTTTTATGCTTTAAAATCTTCCATTTTTTCACTTGTAGTTTTCTTCATACTTGTATTTCTGCATCTGAATTATAACCTAATTGATTTTTATGCTTAAAAATCCCTTATTAATCATATTATTCAGCAACAAATGCATGAGTACTCATTTGGGAACTAATTTTAAAAGTTCATGTCCATAGGTTCTAACTGTTCAAATGTTTCTTTTGGATTGAGTATTCATTATAGTTATTAGTACGAAATAGGACTAAATGGCATGAATATATTACACATTTTGATACATAATTATTAAGCAAATCCATTTCTTAGGGGGATAGATATAATTTTTAAAAATAATTAGCTTATTGTAGACATGGATGAATATTACTAATTGTTAGGCAGGGTTGAGCATCAACTTTGCTTTATTTCTCCTTCTTAGAGATGAAAAGCTTATGTTCACTTAAGTAGATGAGAATGAAGGTTTTGTTACAGTAATGTCAGTCAGTTTTATTGACTCAAGTCATATGCAAAAAACACATATATCTCTGTCATGGTTAACTTTATGTGTCACCTTGGCAAGGCTATGGTGCCCATTTATTTGGTCAAACACTAGTCTAGATTTTGCCATGAAGGTATTTGTAGAGGTGATGAACATTTACAACCAATACACCTTGAGTAAAGCAAATTGCCTACAATAATGTGGCTAAGCCTCGTTTATTCTATTGGATGTCTTAAGAGAAAAGACTGAGGTTTCCCAAAAGAGAAGCAATTCTACCTTAAGACTGCAGACAGCATAGAAACCTTGTCTTGAGTTTACAGCCTGCTGACTGCTCTGTAGATTTTGGTTTCAAGACTGCAATATCAATTCCTACCTGAATTTCCAGCCTGCCAGCCAGTCTTACAAACTTCAGACTTGTTAACCCCACTGCAAGACCCAATTCCTTAAGATAGTTCTCTCTCTCTCTCTCTCTCTCTCTCTCTCTCTGTTTCCATCTCTATCTCTATCCCCACCTCTATCTTTATCTCTATCTTTATCCCTCCCCCTCTGTCTCTGTCTCTATCTCTATCTCTCTCTATCTCCATTTCTCTCTCTATCTCTGTATCTATCTATATATTTATCTCTATCTCCTATTGGTTCTGTTTATCTGAAGAATCCTAACTAGTAGTCTCGTATCAAAAGCACTTTTAGTGACCTATCATTGACAATTGAATTAGACTCTTTACTTTTTTTTTTAAAAGAAATAATTGAATACCCCTCAATTGAAAAAAAATGATTTGTTACCTAATCTTAATTTTCTTTTCTTTTTTTAGGTACTGCATTTCCTGGACATGATCTTAATTTTCTTAATACCTCCACCAACATTTCAAATATCCTCTGTAATGCCCCAGAGGTTTTCTTATGCCCCTAAGGTAGTTTTCTTTCTTTTGTGAAGCAGAAGAAGGGAAATTGTTAAAGGGAATCATTTTAACTAAATTTATTTCCATAAAACTATCTTTGTCTTTATATCCCATGGAAAGTGTTAGGCAGCCTCAGGATTATATCTCAGTTGGAAAACTGCAGATGTAAACCTTCTTGCTATCTACATACTTACATATTTTTCTGTTGTTATTTGCTTACGAATAGCATTTTGACTACAGTAGAAATAAAATACATTAAATGAATAAGCTCAGAAATAAGAAAAAAGGGTCAATGGTGATAATTTATTTGGAAACTATATTTTAATGGTATTAATGGTGTAATTGACATTTAGTTAAACATATTTCAACATAACTAGAGCACTTTAACTCTTATGGTCCATTTAAAATGTAATCGTACATTTATGTATTTCTAGTTAATGTATCAAACTCAACTGAGTAATCAATGTACATCATTTGTTTTGCTCCTAAGTTAATACACTAAGTTATGCTTTAAAATTACTAATTTGCTGCAATATCCAACACTCTCTTTTAAGTCTTACATTGGGAGAAAAGGATATAAACATTTCATGACACCATACCCAAGTTTTTTATGCCCTTGGCAGTGTCAGTTGAACAGACAGTGTCATTTAATGTTTGAGGCAGCATCTGAATTCCTTTTATTCTTAAGATTCTATTTTAAAATGCAGTTTTTAGAAAGTTAATATGAATAGAAAAATTTCTAACATTTTATGTGTATGTGTTTTGTTTGGTACAGGCTGAGCATCTCAAATCTGAAAATTCGAAATCTGAAATGTTTCTAAAATTCAACTCTTTTGAGTGCTGATATGACGTTCAAAGGAAATGCTCATTGGAGCATTTCAGATTTTGGATTTTTGGATTTGGGATATTTAACCAGGGTAAAATGTAGAATGCAAATATTCCAAAATCTGAATCAAATTGAAATCTGAAACACTTGTGGTTCCAAGCATTTTGGATAAGGGATAATTAAGCTGCATAACTTATAAAACTGAATATAACAAAATTTCCCAACATGTGGAAAATGATGTCTTTTTTCAAAAATGTCAATAGCAGATACATGGTACAATAAGTAAGAGGAAAAATGAGGTTTCATATCTTCCAGTTTCCTAATTACACCATTCTAGGTTGGAAGAAAGTGTCAGTAAGATCATTTCTCCTATTTGAAAATCATACAAAACTTGTCAGAGTGACTCAGGCCAGGAGTGTAGCTAAATGATATCTCCCCACATCTATATAATAAGTTGTTACCTGTTTTAAAAGGAAAAGCTCTCAGCATGACTTTAATGTTGCATTTCTGGAATACAGCTTGAAAAGCTCTTCTCAGGGTTGAACAGAGCATGAAAGTAATGGTTATTATCTACTCACATGAAAGAAAAAGAAAGAAAGAGAAAGAGAGAGAGAGAGAAAGAAAGAAAAGAAAGAAAAAGAAAGAAAGAAAGAAAGGAAGGAAGAAAGAAAGAAAGAAAGAAAAGAAAAGAAAGAAAAGAAAGAAACAACAGAAAACTACTTACTGTCTTTAGGCTCTACTTTGAAAAGTGCCCTTTATGCACGCTTTTACACTGTTGGTGGGAGTGTAAACTAGTTCAACCATTGTGGAAGACAGTGTGGCGATTCCTCTAGGATCTAGAATCAGAAATACCATTTGACCCAGCAATCCCATTACTGGGTATATACCCAAAGGATTATAAATCATTCTGTTATAAAGACACACGCACACATATGTTTATTGCAGCACTGTTCACAATAGCAAAGACTTGGAACCAACTCAAATGCCCATTAATGATAGACTGGATAAAGAAAATGTGGCACATATACACCATGGAATACTATGCAGTCATAAAAAAGGATGTATTCATGTCCCTTGCAGGGACATGGATGAAGCTGGAAATCATCATTCTCAGCAAACAAGAACAGAAAATCAGACACTACGTGTTCTCACTCAAAAGCGGGAGCTGAACAATGAGAAAACATGGACACAGGGAGGGGAACATCACACACTGGGCCTGTTTGGGGGTGGGGGGTGGCTAGGGGAAGGATAGCATTTGGAGAAATACCTAATGCAAATAACAGGTTAATGGGTGCAGCAAACCACCACGGCATGTGTATACCTATGTAACAAACCTGCATGTTCTGCACATGTATCCCAGAACTTAAGGTATAATAAATAAATAAATAAATAATTTAAAAAGTGCCTTTTATGTGTGTGTACTTACATACATTATATATATATGTTTTAAATATATATTTTTTTATAGTCCAGAGGTCTTTTATCTTTATATACCTATTGTGGCATGAATTCATAGGGAATAGGTTCCAGGAGCTCAGGCTCCTCTCCATTTTTCTCCAAAGTGTGCTTCTCTGGGTGGGGCTGACTGACACCAAGTACCTTTGTCTTTGGCTTCCTTTCTTTCTGATCATTTTCCTTCACGCGTTTCAGGAAGCTATTTCAGGTCTTAGAGTGCTTAATGTGTACAACATGCACATTAATTCTCTTGGCAAGAATCCTGCCCTTGTTTGTTTAGAACAATGCCAACAGCATGCTGGGTAACACTGTAGACTCTTCCAGGTTTGCCATGGTAGCACTTGTGGGGTATCCCTTTTTGAACAGTATCCATTCCTTTGATATCTACAATATCCCCTTTCTTATAGATTACCATGTATGTGGCCAAAGGAACAATTCTATATTTTCTAAAAGGCCGAGAGAACAATTATCAGGTGACTCTCCTGTTTCCCTTTGTGTTCATCATTTTGGCGAATTACTGGAAGATGGTGGTTCTGGCTGAAAGGGATATTTTTATAGCTTTTATTCTGCAGTTATTAATTTTTATATTGTTGATTTGTGCACGTGTAATTATATTCAATCTTCTCTCTCTGAGATCTGATGATATAAAAGGCTGATATTTATGTTGCCAAATATTTTACCTAGGTAAAAACATAACTGAATATAAAAGATTACATTTATCATAAATTACATACCCTAAACTGCATAATCAGAATAGCAAAATGCAGACACTTTCATCAATTCAATTTTGATGGTTTAAAAGCATTTTCCCTCACTGGTGTGCTGAAACTGGCCTGCACTGGCTTATAACAGCTGATTGTTAGATTTTTAGGAATCATGTTGGCAGCTTGAAATCAGTCATAGAAGGAGTATTTACACCATGGAAACCAGCAAATGTTACAAACCAGCACCTTTTTTTTTCCCCCCTCCAGGGAGAGGCCAGATGTTAAACATTAACCAGTACACTACTACCTATGTACACAAAGTCTCTCTCTCTCTCTTTCTCTCCTCTCTCTTTTTCTCCTCTCTCTCTCTCTCTCTCGCTAATAAAGTTTGTATGATTAGGAGGAAGAAATTCAATGATTAATATCAAATTGCCTATTACAATTTTTTTGTGAAGTTGTTGTGAATTGAATGTATTATATTCTTGGGAGAAAAAAATGCAATCTGGATCAAAGATGAATGCCTTGTAGGAAATGTATGAATTGGTTTCAGAACGTACAGTTCTAGATTTTCTTGACAATCAAAAACATGTTCAGTGAAAATGAATACTTTTTTTATTTTAATATATAAGGACTCCATTTACAACTGAGCAACTATCTTTTTTTTAGGGGAAATTTTTTTTACAAGATTCTTCCTCTTGCCTCAAAAAATAAGGAGCCCAAACTTAGACTCAAGTTCTGTTTAATGTTAGGCAATGCTTCTTGGCAAAGGAAGAGAACTATGGTGTTCTATCAGTATGGAATTAGCCCCAAGGCATGCTGCTCCAAATACTGTTACTTATATTGTTACCAGTTACAAGAGCCTTTATTGTACTCAATACACACACGCACAAAGGAAGTAGGGTCAATATTGGTGGTGGAGCTGTGAGTTGCACAAATATGCTGCCTGAGTAGTTATGTGTCTGAATTAGCTAACATTAGCATCCATTATGCCTAAATAGCTTTCAAAATATAATACTGAAATTTCTGTCTTCTGCCCCAGAGTTTATATGTCAAAAGTTATTGAATTTAGAGATTTCTAAGATTGACATGCAAACCAATGTAGTCCAAGATTCTCTCACAAGGCTACTTGTTCAGAAAATTTGTGAGACCTAGGTCATATCTCTTTTCATTCACATAATTTTTCACACAGACAGCTTTTAGCAATAATTAGAGAGTTATCATTGTCTTATATAATTTTACTCTTTAATAAACAAGATTGTAGTTATGACAGAAAAAACATCTACTTATTATGGTAATGAATTATTCACTCATGACTGAGAGACACATAATTATATGGTGATTTGGTTTATCTTCAATAAAGAGTTCTAAATTTTATTTTTTAATGATTTAAAATAAAATTATGTGGTATATAATTATATTTTGTAAATGTTCCACTCATATTTGAATAAAATGTATATTTTTAGCCAGGCACAGTGGCTTATGCCTGTAATCCCAGCACTTTGGGAAGCTGAGATGGGAGGATTGCTTGAGGCCAGGAGTTTGACACCAGCCTGGACAGCATAGTAAGACCTCATCTCTACAAAAATAAAAATAAAAAAAATTTAGCTGGGCATGGTGGTGCATGCCTATAGTTGCAGCTACTCGGGAGGCTTAGGTGGGAGGATTGCTTGATCCCAGGAGTTTACGGCTGCAGTGAGCTATGATTGTCTCACTGTACTCCAGCCTGGGCAACAGAGCAAGCCCCTGTCTTTTTTTTCTGTTTGTATATTTTCTGTTTGAGAGTTCCCATAGGAAGTTTCCTCACATGATTTTGTATTTGTCAATTTCTCTATTTATGTATACTGAAGCTCTACTTGACTGTTGTTCCTTCTTGGTGAATTATTCCCTTCATAAATTTGAAATACTCCTTTCCGTCCTTTTCAATATCTTGAAATCTACTTTTTTTTTGCTACTAAAAATACTAGTACATCAGTTTTTTTTTTTTTTTTTTTTTTAACTGATATTTCCTTGTTGGTTTTTTCCCACTTGGAATCTTCAATCTTTTGTGTTATTTTGTTTAAATGAGTCTTATCACATAAACAGTATGGTATCTGAGAATTTCTGTCTTTTATGAGGTAAATTTAAACCATTCACTTTTGGGGGGAATTACTGGTAAGTTTGGACTTAATTTGTCATTTCTTTTTTTTTGTGCTCAATTTACCATCCTTTCCATTCCCTGGTGTTTTCTTTTCTACTTCTTATTGAGTTGGCCAATCATTCTATTTTCACCCCTATCCATATGGAAGTTCTACATGT